GTTGATAAATAGACAGTAGCAGAAGGTGTTAAAATCATTCCCAAAATCGCATGTTGTACTTCACAAGGGGTATCCGCTGTCTTCTGGCAAACATCCCATGCGACTATCTCAGGCAATATAGACGTCACTTGGAAAGGTCAACTGATTGAGCTCAACGGCGATGACTCTCTGTAAAAAAGAAAGCTGAGTTCTGCCATTTTACCAGAAAGACGAAAGTTCATCAATTCAACCCAACATCTAGAAGAGGTAGTATTTTAGTGCCAATCAAATCTGTTAATTATCTCGTGAAGTGTATTTGTCCTTAAGGGTCTAATTGTGAGGCAGGCAAAGGAGCAAGACTCTTCAGTGGCCACCTCAAACTAGTGACAAACTGTTACTTACAGCCTTTAGACGATTGAGATTTATTATCATTCATGATACTCCCAACTCCTACCTCGCGCATGGTTGGAGAATCTTAACTAAACTTATAAAATCGTGTGAAACGTAAGCAAACGTTGGAATACTCNCAAGACTCTTCAGTGGCCACCTCAAACTAGTGACAAACTGTTACTTCCAGCCTTTAGACGATTGAGACGTATTATCATTCATGATACTCCCAACTCCTACCTCGCGCATGGTTGGAGAATCTTAACTAAACTTATAAAATCGTGTGAAACGTAAGCAAACGTTGGAATACTCAAGAGTGCTTTCTCATTGATTCTCTACCTCCTCTTTCAACCAACCAATCAACCAACCAACGAGCCATGCATTTTCACATATTTACATGGAAATTCCGATGTGAATCCGATTTAAACAGACCGAAAACTGCCCAGAATCATCAACACTTTCTTGTTTTTGATCAACAGTGAGCATACGCGGCAGAGATTTTGAGTAGAGCTTTCTCATCGCCAAATGTCCGTGCAATATAAAGTCAACACGATCATTGACATTTTTACGATATCACTCAACTTCACTTTTCAATCATTGAAATAATTTTGTGGAATTCAAAAATGGCAAAATTAGAATCACTCTTTCATTTACCCAAAAGTTTAGGAGTAGAAATCATGAAATCTGAAAAGCTTTCTTTTAGTAGGCCTAGCTGAAAAAGCACTGAATGCATTAAAATTACCAACATCTATGTGTTCGACCCGGGATCTTTCACCAACTTTTTTCAACTTATTATCTTATCTATCAAATTCTTCAAAATATAGCGTACTGCTATTATATAGGCCAAGGTTCGAGTCCTGGATCGGGAATGTCAAGCGCTGTGAATGTGGATTTATAAATTAAATAAAAGCTCTTCATGAAAATTCAAGCTGTTCGGAAGCGACTTAGAATAAACTGCGGTCCCTCCACTTGTTGGAATAAACATCAAGACGCACAACCACAAATTGGAGGAGGTGTTCGGCCAAAAATCGCTTCCACGGTTATAAAGCGCCAATTATATATATTATTCGAAATCGACTTATTTTCATTTTTAAGAAATTTAGCAAAGGATTCTTTTTGATATCAGCCGAAGTATAATGAAACTTATAAAAAAATTAAAATACGTTTTCAAAAGTTTTGCAAACTTTCATTTAATATTTGGCCAGTTTTCAATTTTAGTTTTAAATAACTCAAAAACTAATACCGTTATAGAGTCAATGAGTCACTGAGGCTATCAAAAATTATATGGGAAATGATTAAGATAATTTTCAAAACAAAAAATATATTCAAAATTCACGACTTTCAAAACATCAAATGTAAAAAATTAAATTTTTTACAAATTTTTAATTTTTAAGCAGCATACTCGTATGTATGTACGTATGTTCAAGACAGAAATTAAAAAATAAAAACTATCAAAACGACTAAGCGATTTCCCTTGAAGCGGTCATTTGTAAAACAATTTCGATATAAATTGAAGATTCGCTTATTATCTCCATAAAAAAGAATTTTATTCCTCTGATAAATTGATTTATGAAGTACCTATGTATGTATGCATGTCATTTGTTCCCCTTGCCGCATATGGAGTCATACACGTATGCAATACATATTCACACAGAAGGTGCAGATGTACATACATACATGTATGTATGTATTTACGTATGTTAATCCGTGCACACTCTGCTTGGCTGCTTGGCATCCATATATCATTTTGTGAAACAAAACTCACCCAATGTGAAAACAACAACATACCAATATTAATTAGGACATATCAGACAGTTTTGTTGAAACGCTTCGCAAAAAAGCTACAATAAAAAAATCAACTAATGATGACTCAAACATTCAATTTTATTTATTAAGGCTTCTTTGGCAGGAGCCGCTCTGATCGAAGTGTACTAAAGTGTATAAATCGGTCTGACCGATAATTTCAGATACATTCGCACAGCCAAGCATGAATACATACTTACATACACAAAATTCTTTACTCACATATGCCTCTACGTACACATGGATTCATACATACATATTTACACTCGTATGTATACACACATGTACATATATAAAGATATTAATGAGCATCCCAAATTGAGCTGAGTATTTGCGCGCGCACCTACAGAAACCACACACAGCGGCTGCGGTTCTTCTACCTGACTAATCCGCTTATCAAATTTCAGAAGGCTGCGCATGCAAAGGGTTTCTTTACAAGCACAATCGCAAAACGTTCAGCAGATAGTAAAGAAGCAGAGAAGAAGCAAAGCGAAGGTGCATCCGCAATTTATTTGTCTTTCCCTTAATCTCCCTTGACAAGAAGTTGAAGTCAGTGCTCGATTGCTTCTGTGCACAAGAGAGTATTTTTTTTTATTGTTTACATGTGACTTCATGCACATACGCACATACATATAAGTACGTATATGCATATAACTATAGATAAATACTTTTACTCGTATGTATGTATGTGTGTATGGGTACTTGAATTTGCCCGTACGTTGAATTGTTGTTGTGGTGGTTTATAGCTCGAAAAAGAAAAATATCCGATTACGTGGATATCTCACAAAATCGAGAAACCAACTGATATCACAATACAGAATCTCAGTATTAAATTCAGGTAAGATCGAGACAAAAATCAAATTTCGATGAATTTAAAAATAAAAGCGAGCAGGAGAGCAAAGGAATTTTAGATTTATATGTCGGATTTTTTATCATCTTAATGCTTTTAACACCATTTATAAGTTAATTTAAAACTGAGAAGAGTAAAAGAAAAAATATTTTTGATCAAAAGTTTTGAGTTTGTAAGAGAGAATTATTTTGAACAAGATCTTGGAAAATTAGCACTCGAATGATTCTGAGTTATTAGCTGTGTGGTTGCAGTAAGTAAGCCAAGGTTGGGGGTAAAAACTTTAATCTTACTCGCCTAGCGAGGTTCTGGGCAGGGTTTGGCCTCTTTAACTTGATGCTGGAGGAAATAATACGAGCTGCAGAGCTGAATAGAGAAGGTACAATCTTTTATAAGAGTGCGCAGCTGCTAGCGTATGCCGATAATATTGACATCATTCGACTCAATAACCGCACCGTGAGTTCTGCTCAACGTTCCATCGGCTGCGGTATACGCCGTTCCCAACTCGTGAAGTACCATTAATCTAACGCAAAACCTTTCTCTCAAAACTGCTAACGTCGACTCATCAGATGTTGTTGATGAGAGACTCGTAGAGTTTGGTTTTCGTTCCTTGAGAGAGGTCTTTACTTTTCAATTGCCTACTCAGTCCGAAGTAGCACCTGTTGGCAAGAGTGATCCTGCGCTAGATTCCAAGGCTGACATGTGCTAATGATTGTTCCTATCTAGGTGCTACTATGAGTAGGCAAAGTCCCCTCTCAATGAAACAAAACCAAACTCTACAGGTCACTCAACAATCCCGTTCCTTTGAGAGAAAAGAACTGCGAACGATTTATGGTCCTTTGCGCTTTGTCTACGGCAAACGCTGGAACGATGAGTTGTATGAGCTATACATTGATTTAATTCAAAGAATGAAGAGATAGCGGCTACGTGGCCAGGCCATGTCATGTCATGCGTATGAATGAAAGCGCTCTAGATTTGAAATTATTCAATGCAGTACCCGCTCAGCAGAGGATGACCCCTACTCCGTTAGAAGGATCAGGTGGAGAGCGACTATATTTCAATTGGTATTTCCAACGGGCGCCAAACAACGAAAAGAAGAACCGAATGGCGCGCTTTTGTTATTTCGGCTATAATCGCGTAAGCGGTTCCCATGCCAATATAAAATAGAAGAAGAAATTTTCTAATTGTGGTCGCCCCTTGCAGGGAAAGTCAGGTAAATATATCCTACAGGCGAACACGTTCTGTTAACCGATTAAGGCGGCCTCAGACATTAGTTCTACCTTCTCCATAATGAACAAAAAGCGACGGAACTCAAACAAAAATATTTGAAGTCATAACTTTAAAGTCATAGACAATTTTGTCTATCTAGGGAAAGGGATTAGATTATAATTGGCTTTTTATAATAACTGAAGCAATTCTCGGACGAGCTACTCTTTCAAATTGTGATCAAATTGAGGGGTCTACGATTTATTCTTATTTTTATTCTAAAACGTCTCTGGGGGTCTCTTTAATTTCATGTCAGAAATACATACGGAAGGGTTTATATTCCCTGTCGAGAGGAGACTGCTGTGGAGATAAATTTTTTCCATGTATAATTTATGAATGCTCACCCAAGAGTTGAAACGCTAACCCTTCTCATAGTAGCACCCAATGCTGACTTTTTTTTGAAGCGAAAATTAAGAAGGAGTGATGTGCGGGTTAGGAGCTAAAGAATTGTCCCTTTGTTAAGGAAAGCCTGTCGTAAGAGGCGACTATGGTATTTACACCAGAGCTTTTATTCGGCGAAGGACTGTCCCGCCCGCAAAGGACTCTCGGAAAACCGATTCGCGGCATATTTCTGCGGTTACGACAACAACAAAAAAGACTGACGTTTCATCGGTGACTCGACCAGAAGAAACTATTGGATAGTAGAAATTGTACTGTTGATCATTAGATCTTATACCCCTCCGATTGGAGCATCCTATGAAATAAAACATGTTCTGAATTTCATTTCTTACTTTTATTTTCTTATTTGTCACTATACACAGTTTTCTCACAATACTACTACAACGGTATTTAGTAACTATAAACATGATTTAAAACGTCTTTATTATCGTTCACTTTTCAGTTACATATTCGTTTGTACACACACTACACATATACATATATAGTACTTATTAATATAAAGTATCGCTAATATATATCACAGTTAGAAATTGGCACACTTAATACAAAGTGAGCCATATTATTTTATTATGTTCATACTTATTTTATACTTATATACATATACATGTACATTAATGTAGTTATACAACATTTAAGCCTTAAAAGCCTTAAAATATGAAAGACTCACAACTTTAATTACGAACTCTAACATCAACGGTACATACATTATTGCTTAAATATGAGTATTAGTTTAGGTATACATATACTTTAGGGCGATTCCTTTCATTGTCATTATTATATTGCTTTAACATTATTGCTGTTAGTTGTCTTTTTATTTTATTCAACTTAGGACTAAAGTGTAAGCAATCAGGAGAGTGCCGAAATAATAACAATAATAATAATTACTAAACAGTCTCGGTATATATGAGGCAGAAGAAGACTCGGATCTACTCAGTGCTAAGGTCTCACTAAACGAACTTCGACTATTGCGCACTGATCCTTCAACTATGTCGTTATTCGAAATATCTTTAACAACATACAAGTCACTTTGCTCCGATTTGGTACTGCTGGGTGGTTTCATTGTGCACAGTTTTGGCGCTTCAAACACTTCGGTTATATTAGCCGGCCAACTGATGAAAGTGCTCGAAATCTGCAAGGAGACATTCAGACGAAACTGTTATATAAAACCGTTATTTATATTGTATAAATAATGATTACTTACATTTGACACCGAACTTTCTTCATTTTGACATTGAGCTTTGAAGGCACCTTTCAATGTTAGGTCCTGAAATGCTTTGAACTGATTCTCCCAGTCGTATGTGAGTAACCGAGTTTCGAGTGTCATTCCTTTTAACTCCGGTGGCAAAGATATAACGACAGGGTCGGAGTTTCTATTGACGAAAATGAAACATATCAAAATTGTATTCAGCAATTGTTAGTGTGATTTTAAACCTACGCATTTAAATATTCAATCCCCAGGGAATGCAATACAGTTGATAAACTAGGTGAAGAATGGCATGTTGTCAGCTGTTTTTGTTTTGGGTAATACAAAGCGAACACCATACAGCTTTCTTCCTTCATGGAGGGTCCACCTATGTTGATTGATTATGTTTTCAATTAATTATTTTATTTCTAATGTGTTTGTATGTATGTAAATGTACCTAAAGTGATTGCGCGGCGCGTTGTGCTATCATATACGCATTCGGCGATCAATCTATCGCCAGGAAGAGAGCGTGCAGCATGTGGAAGACGCCGGAATGTTTGATAGTTTGGATCGATATTACCATCCGATACGATGGGTGCTAATTCTTGCATATTTCGCATCTTTGAGGATATTAAATTAGAAAATTATTTCAATGATCTTCAAATACAAATCTGTATGTATAATTCTACCTGTCGTAACTTCACCTCCACACCGATTTGGTGTGTGCGCGTCATCGTGGCAAATATATTTACACCCTCGCGTGGGAAAAATGATTTCGTGCATTGTTCTATGCAATGGCCTTGAGACACAACCCGCGCTTGACCTGGAGGAATTATGTGATGCCAATTGGGTTCTATGCCTGTAGAGAAAATAGATAAGAGCGAATATTAATATCATGCATAGTACATACATTGTTGCTTATTTTATATACTCACCAATAGACATCAAACCGGCATCATTCTGACGTAGTTGCTCGGTGACATGCAATCTCAAGCCGGAACTGTCAAACATGTGGTTCAGTTTGAATTGCTCAAAATCAATATTTAAATTGTTGTAGTGCGTTTCCATCATTATAAACTTTACGCTACTTGTGTCCAGTGGATAACCGACTTCAGGTGGGTAAATAAAAGCCTAAATTAAGAGTAATTTTTTAAACAAAAATTCTATGCGATTGAGTTGTAATTTCGCTTACTGGTGAACCGCGCGACCAGGTTGCCATATATGTGTTGCATGAAAGTTGCATACCACGCATATTGTAACATTGTTGTCCTGGTTCGTGTGCCAGTGCCTCCAATTCTGGCCCACTTCCAGCGCATTCATATAACGTCACGTATTGTAGGTACTGAAGGCTCCACGTTGAATCAAAAATGGGTTCGAACTGTAGAGATTAAGGTGAAAAACAACCGTTTTGATCAGAAGAGTTAAAATACCCCGTTATATAAATAAACACACAATTTAATAGAATGCAAACTAACCTTAATAACGTGATTTTTTCGCTCCATTTTATCCAATTTAAAAAATTTGCACCATATCAAAGTATCATCATCGTACGGCAGCTCCACACCAGAATTGCGAAATTCTAATTTACGCGTCTTTTCCGCATTCGACGCCTGTACGCCACGCTCAATCAAAACCAATGACTGTGCGGAGCGCCAAGCACTGTCAACGTTAGGTAAAGATCCGGGTCCGACTGAACCATTCAGAGGATCATTCTCATCGTATAAAAACAATATGCGCATTGTATTATTCTAGAAAGTGCAGAGAGATGGATTTTTAAAATAATTAAATGCACAACAGTTCAGTATTCAGTAACTCACTGTTATTGGAATATCGTATAGATTGTCGCAGGTATCCAATTTTCGTCGAAACCTTATTATTGTGTGTGTATTGTTTTCGTATCCGCTTAAAAGTACATAATCCTGAGATGGATCTACAAGAGGTTCTGTAGAGTTTTTGTTTGCCGAAACATGGCGATCCTGAAAGAATGTCTGCCCTTTGTCCACCCAACCCATAACAACATCCGCTCCTTCTTTACTGCCAGTAGGTGAAAAGCCAAGTCCTACATAGCCATGAGTACGTACTTGTATTTCAAAAATAGCATAATTTTCCTTGATTGTCCAGAGTAAGCGAAAATTATCATCTAAGTTTACAGTATGATCCCAAATAGTTGTTTCATCTATGTCTAGATGTGCTGAGAATCCTCCAATTCTCGATTCTACCATTTTCAATTGTGATACATAACAGCTCAGGAAGATCCAACATTTTAGTAGTGTTAAGATATTTGCAAACGACCTCATTTTTATCGATTTCAAGCTCAAATTCATTGTCGACGATCGTTCTTCTGTGGAATATTAGAAATAAAAATTCCAAAGAGTTATTGTAATTTGTATGACTGTGAAAGGTTAATATGTTTAAACGATCTGTATTGTGTATATACGAATATACGCTTTTGCTCTTTGAAGGTTAAGGGCTCATCAAATTATAGAGACAAATTTATAGAAATAATTATTGATGAAAATGCAGAGTTTAAATTTTTTTGTTACTGTTATTCGAGCATACAAATATGAATCGTTTGATTCTAAGTTTATAACATAAACGGTTCGATAAAATTTAATTCTAATTAAGAGATTGGAAAGTCGGGCATTGTCAACTATTTTTGGGTATTCAACTAAAAAAAGCTAAATAAGCTAACAAAGAACAATATTATTGGCAGAGTTGTAGCTTGTTTCAAATTTTTATTTGAAATGAATTGAAAAAATCAAAGAAATCAAGCTCAAAAGATTTAAAGGCTTTTTATCAGCGGAAAACATTTTGGAGGACGGTGCCTTATTTAATGCTTTCAATAATATTTATATATTTATATATTATTGTATATTAAGGGTTAAGGCCACTCTAGAGGTTGAAAATTTTCATTTTTAAAAATTTATTTTTGGAATATGGGAAAAGGTATAGAATTTCTATTTAATCATTTCGTTGAACATATGTATGTTGAAGTATAAAAAAATATTCTTTTATTATTATTTTGCTACAAAATGGCGGTGATATACATAAGAACATTATTTAATCCATGATTTTTTGAAAGGCGTCCAAGGGAGGACCGATTTTTTCTAAAGGATGAAACCTATGACAGAAAAGCAAAAAGTCTTATGATCTACAAACTGTGGTATTTGGAAGTACCCACGGATTTATTTTTTAACACAATTTTTTTTTTTTAAGTCTGATTTTTGATTAGAAAATACGTACTAAATTATTAAGAAGTTTACATTTAATTGAAAAACGGCTACTTATATAGATACATTTGGCGCTTTGTAAAAAAATATATTACAAAAAAAATTCTTCGGTTCATACCTTTCACGACATTATCCTATTTTAAACTTTTGCCGCAAATCTGTAGATATGTATCAGAGGAAGGAGAGAGACGGACCAAAATGTATACCGATATGATCAGAACAACAAGTTTAGTATTCGTTTGGCCATCTATTTGAACGTAAAAACTAGTCCTTCAATTTTTGGGATTTAAAAAAAAACTTATTATAAATTCAAAATGTTCATGAAATGTATAAAGACATGACCTAAGACAGCTCTTATTTCTTTTGATTCAATTGATTCCGGATAGTCGTGAATTCAATATGAAATATGTATTATTGAAATTGCTAACGATAATAGATTTTCAATTAAAAAGCGAATAGTGAATGCTCGAAATTAAATGAACCCCAAAGCATATTTTGGGTTAAACAACGTCTGCTGGCCAGCGCACACACAGATATTTCTGTTGTTACAACACTCGTCAACCCCTTTTGTCCAAAATGTTGTTATAATATAAAAAAGAAGAAAATATGCGCTTCGGCACACATACATATATAACAAGTCACATGTCAATTTTTGTAATAAAACTCTGAAGGGGGAATCCTACACCTCACTCCCCTCAAAAAATCAACATCAAAAATATATAAATATTAATCATTTACTATCAAAATACCAATTATATATATAGATTACGTGTTTGTGCAGTCTTAACAGTATTTTAGAACTAATTAAAACTTTATATCCACGAAGTTTGTTGAGTTGATCGAATTCTTTTTTACAGTGTGTTCGTTTGACTGAAATTACTGAGTGTTTTTTGTAGTTTCATAAAGAAAGTTTCATAAAGATTTCTCAATTTTCGAGAATACAATTAGATCCATATTCTAAAGAGTATATAGTATATCCATCTCGATAGCTTTATGCAGCCGTAGCCCGGACTGAACTCAGATAGAAAGGGGCATTTCAGTCCTATTACCAAATATTATATAAGAATAGTTATTATTTGTTAAATATTCAACGGGAAAAATAGTTAGTAATGGAAAAGAGAAAAACTATGCTTCTTGAAAACAACAATATTGCATAAGATAAGTTGGAAAATCCATCGAGCATCGAATGCAGCTCAGAGTGCATACACACGCATGCCCAATTTATTATTTTTTCTTTGTATGATATATTTGCGTTTTATCAGCGTTTTTGCATTGAAAATGTCTCCTAACTCGCCTCTAGCCTGCAGTTAACCAGAATCTGAAATAATATTTTGTAACTGGGTGGAAAGCACGGTTTCGAGTGACATTTACACATACATCCTTTGTTTAAAACGACCTTGAAAAAAACATATCCTTTATTTCGCCTAAATCCTTTTGATGAATTTCCTCCTTTCGTTTCTATATAACAAGTGAAAGGTGAAACAAACAAGAACTGCATGGCTGAAGAAAAGGTATGAACGCCGACGGCAAAATAAAAAATACCAGCACACAATCGCCCAGTCAAACATATAAAAAAACATCTGAGAAATGAATATTTTGTATCCAAATCTTTGACCTCTAAACTTACAGAAGACTAGAATTCTGCTTAAACCGTTAATAAAATAATTACGACTTTCGAAGAGGTTTTTGCATTTTACAGTAAGGACAGGTGTAATCGACTGCTTTTTTTCATTCATACTGGTTTTTTTTAACATTTTGGTGAAATGAATTAATTGCATAATTTTGAAAAAAGTTGGGTAAAAAGCAATATTTATAAATTGTTGGAATTACACTTGCATGGTTTATAAATAAATTTATTTCAAATAATAGAAAATTTAGATGCCAATTTGAATAAACTTATACAAAAAAGCTAAATATAACATCGTAATCTTCGTGCAAGGTCTCGGTGTTTTTTAGTCATTTTGAAAAATCGAAATTTTTCCTTCAGTTCAGCTACACATCTTTATTCAATTTACAAATATTTTGAAACAAAATTAGCTGAGGAATGGTAATGAGTTAACTATTATTAGTCAAAAACTAACGTGAAAAATTTTTTCACAAAAATTCATAAGCAATTCATGTCTCTGACAGCAACAAAGAAAATTAAAATAAAAGAAATTTCCGTGTATATATGTATGTATGTACTTTTATGTATATAAATATTTGCATATACAAATCTCTAATAAATAAACACATGCCTACATATGTAAATATGTATGTGTGTGGCTGGGAATTTTATTTACTGAAACTGCGCCTTGTGCCAGAAAGTTAAGTGAGTTTTCCGGTAAATTACGAGACATTCAACAAGGCGTTTACTTCAAATGCTAACGCAATAGTTCAACTAATTTCACTTCATTTCAAACTTAATTGAGTTTGTATGGGTGTTGTTGTAAACATAATATATTTAGATATACATATATGTATGTATGTATGCACATAGATTCTCCTTTATATTTAGATTGTTACTCATAATTTGCTCATAAAAACTGAATAACCGTTTTAAGTACAATTACTAACTATGTTTGTACAATAAAAATACATACTAATATTTAAAGTTTATGTTTGTTTGTAGGTACATACATATACATATAACAATTTATGTACGTTGTATTGTTAAATGACATTGTTAACCGGCTATTATGCTACATACAAACATACATATGCTCAACGACTACAAAAAAAAAAAAAAAATAACCCACACCAAGTACAATAGAAGAATCCCACTGTGTTGAGAGAAAAAAATTAAGATATAGAAAATAAAACATAAAAAACTTTGGACTTTCTTTTTTCCGTGGGTAGTAAAAATTTGTCTGTATGTACATACGTATATGTAGGTATGTATGTATGTCTGCAGAAACCTTTCTAATCTTCAGTCATATGAATAGAGCATCCACAATTTTTCAAAGCAATGCATACATACATACATACGTACATACATACATATACATATATATGCACGCGATGCAATGAGACGTTAATGCTGGCAACAGTGACTGTGTCGCTATGTCTTCCCCATGTTGCAAGTAAAAGGCAATGAAAGGTGCAAATGATGAAACGTTGTATGCACCTATGTGTGTACATATGTATGTACTCGTGTAACCATTGACTCGTAGCTACAACAAAACGACTGGGTATCCAGTAGCGATGGAAAAGTGCAACGCGGTTTATTGTCGCTGCAAAGGAAGGTGGTAAACATTTGTTTCTAAACATAACAATTGGATTCCCATGGCACTAATGCCGAAGTTATGAATGGTATTGATGAATTTCAATTTAGGGAATTTCGGAAATTGAAATGAAATATAGGTTTTCAAAGGGAATTTGTTTATTTTTTTGTTTTCATTTTCGATTAAATTTAATTGAATCATTCAAATAAAAAATTTCTACACATACATGTGTACATACATATGAATATATCGAATTTTTCTACAATAGTTTGCATCATATGTTTAAACAATATATCAAAATATTATCTTAGAAAAACATACTTTTCTACAGAAATTTTAATTTCTAAGCAGCTTTATAATATTTAAATATGCGTTAATGTCATTAATTATTTGTTTGTATGTATTAAGTACACAGATTTTTCATAAACATTGAAAAATTGTCTCTTTCAATTAAGTGGGACATAGCATACATATTTGCGGCACCGCATCCCCTTGATGATATGTAAATGTATGTACAGACATATATACATATGTACGAGTATGTATGTTTGTGTGTACTTATACACATTTAGAATTCACATATGCATGTTCCCCGCTAGCTTTATTAACTCTATTGAATAACTTAATTACTGAGGCATTCAGAGGTCTATTAATGAGCATTTGTATATTTATATGTGAGTTTTTATATTGCTCACTGTATTAATATTTATACATGGTATGAGCGTTCAAGTAACATACTATGTACATTTGTATATATGTTATGGCAATCCTTACCAAATTCATGCAAAATAAGTTTAGCTCTTGAGTAATCCAACTCCTTTAACATTCCATTAAAATAGTTCGTTGCTTATATCCTATTTGTTACGAATCAACACTTTTAAATATTGTGCCACATACATGCATATACATATACATATGTAGTATAATAAATTTTCACAACACAAATTACAACTGATTCGATTGCAATATATTTTTTATTTCTTATTAACATCCAACAAACGCTACAATTCAATTACTGTTAGCACTTATAATAAATTTATACAAACTTGTACATACGAGCATGTACATATATTTATAATGCTTTCTTCACTTGCCACTCAAATCACTACTGTGCGTAAACGTTCGACACCACAAAACATCCGTTCAATATAAAATACAACTTTACTATTTCGCGTTCAGAGAATAACTGAGGAAAGATTCAAAAATGAACTACTCTTCCCGTTTCGTTTTATTTCCGAAGCGTTCCGAGAGTCGGCAATTGAAATGTTACAGAAACCCGATGACAATGGAACATATTGCTCTTTAGGAGTAGGTTGCGCTTGAATATTTTGAGAGAAGTGCAACTTTGCTATTGAAAAAAGAGTATTTATCTGTTAATATAACAGAGTTGCATAATCAGAGAACCTTTATGACATTTCATCATAACCTTGGTGAATTTAAAAAATAATATGTATATTTATACCTCTACACACTCATAGGGTGTGCTAAAAACATTTGAAACATGGTTATTTGGCTAATTTCACATTTTTACAAGTATAAATAATGTTTGAAAATTTTGTGAGCCAAAGCTTATAAGTCCGCCAAATTTTTAAATAGAAATTATTTAATTATTCTTAAAATGTGTAACCACTTGAAAAATACAGTAATAAATGCATTTGTATTTAAATTTTGAATTTATTTAATGCAACTAAAGTCGATTACTGAAATTAACAACATTCGCAATTCTTAAGCCCATAGATCCACTTCTGAAAACAGTCTTTAAAATCTTGCTTTTTAAGTTTATCAAATTCAGCATTAACCGCAGTAATTATNCGACTTGTGCTAATGTTGACATAGAAAGTGACACACAGCTTATAAGTCCGCCAAATTTTTAAATAGGAATTACCGGCGTGCAGCTCCTATTTTAGAACAGGTGAAGTAAAATGGCATCATTACTTCCCAAATTTTGGGCCAGAGTTACAGTGACGTCATCAGTGAAAGATTTTGGTCAACCTCTCGGGTTTCGTCCTCTACCAAAAAATGTCTGGTCTGGAATCTTCGGAACCACTTACAAATATTCTTTAAAAGCAGTGAAATCGATCCATATTTAACTTTTATTGGCTGAAAATTACGCCGAAACCCGAAGAGAATGAAATGGTGAATTTCTGTTTATCTTGGAATTTCGTCTGACCCATTTTGAAATGAAAAATAATAAGGCAATCGCAAAGAATTTGGTATTTTTAGATTTAACAAAAGCAAATTGAATGTGACCAATTGAACGAACTTTTTTTAATACCCCCGTATCTGGTAGCCGAGTGGTTAGCATTGCGTACTGCCATTTGAAATTCCAGTGCTCAAATCCTGGTACGGCCAGCATTCAAAAAGTAATAGAAAAATTAAATAAAAAATTTAAATTTTCTAATTGCGGTCGCTCCTCGGCAGGAAATGCCAACCCCCCGAGTGTATTTCTGACATGAAATAAAGGCTTCGCATAAAAAACCACCAGCCGTTCCAAGGCGGCTTACTATAAACTGTAGGTCCCTCCATTTGTCGGAAAAACATCAAGACGCAAGGCCACAAATTGATGAAGGAGTTGTATAACTCNTGGACCAGAGTTACAGTGACGTCATCAGTGAAAGATTTTGGTCGACCCCTCGGGTCTCGTCCTCTACCAAAAAATGTCTGGTCTGGAGTCTTCGGAACCACTTACAAATAGTCTTTATGTAATTTTTATAGGCTGTAAATTACGCCGAAACCCGAAGAGAATGAAATGGTGAATTTCTGTTTGTGTTGGAATTTCGTCTGACCTATCCTCAGTTATCTTGCATTTTCTCGTCTCCATTTTGTCCGGTCAAACAAAAATTTGAAATGAAAACTAATAAGGCAATCGCAAAGAATTTGGTATTTTTAGATTCAACAAAAGCAAATTGAATGTCACCAACTCAACGAACTTTTTTTAACACCCTCGTATCTGGTAGCCGAGTGGTTAGCATTGCGTACTGCTATTTGAAATTCCAGTGCTCAAAACCAGCATTCAAAAAGTAATAGAAAATTCTATTAAATAAAAAATTAAGTTAAATTTTCTAATTGCGGTCGCTCCTCGGCAGGAAATCCTACTGGCTGTGATTGAAGAAAAACGTTAGTTCGGGCATGGTTTTATTATTAAATATAAATTCAGTAGCCAGCTCTTTTTTAATTTTAACCTTTCGGTCATACACTGTCAAAAGTTTGAGTTATGCCCAACAAGACAGCTGAACAAGCGACGATTTAATTTTTACTACAAATCAATCGGCTTATTCAACTGCAGAGCTCTGCTTTCTTAGCTTAAGTTGATGGTCTCGATTTTTTTTTTGCAGAAAAAATACTGTACACAAAAAAAGGAGGAGGGCAATAAGACTTCACCTATTATCCTGGCTTCTCTGATTTGAAACCCATCTTAATCTCAGCTACTGTCCAATGTGCCGGGGGTAAGTTGCAACGGATATACATAATTGTTGTGGGGACATAAATTATCTACAACCGTAACTTGGATTCATGGTTGCCATCGTTTATGTTGTCCTTCTTTTCCAGGAGATTTTGAACTGATTTGATATGGTTAATGTTGAGTTGAAGAATTTTGTAACAACAAGTGGAGTTTTAAGATGATTATAAAGAAATTAAAATCTTACTCATATTTGTCAAGGCCAGAGTTTTCTATGGCTAAATACTATTCTTTCGGTTAGATCGGTCCCAAAAAAATTATCCAATCATAAGCAAAGAACCATTTATATTACATATATTGACCAAAACCAGATCACCCACGCCAACTCCTCCTGGTAGAAAAAGTGTTCACGATGGTAATTTAGGTAAAAAATAGTCTGTACCAAATTACATGAAAATCCAACGATTTAAAAGTGTTCACATCCCCGAAAATCCTTTCTTATCGGATATCTACGTAATACGAGAATAAATTTTCTATGTTTCAATGGTTTGGGCTGTGGATTGATTGATAAAATAAATATAAGATTTCTGATACACAAGCTAGGTCTTGAGTAGTAATTAGGTTACCTTGAGAGGAATATTCTCACAAAGATTATTGTCCTTTGAATTTATCTCTCTAGAAGCCATGAATCTCTGGTCGTTTTGGGTTAAAGTTATTACACGACCAAATTGGAAAAGCGGCTCAGCCAAAAATTGCTTCAGCTGTTACAAAGCACGATATATATATATATTAGTTTTAAAATAATATATATATATCGTTATATAATCGTTATATAATAACACTAATGAGAGACTCCTTGTCTAAAACCTCATTCAGTATCTAAGGACTTTAAAATGATCTTCACATGATATCGGAACTAATAGCAAGTTTGTGGTGTTTTCAAGACGTAATGTCCAAAAATGCTTTTAACTCCAGTAATTATTGAGTTCATCAAATTTTTATCCCAGGACTTGTTGAAAACATCGGTGTTGAATTTATTAGGTCTACAGTTTAATCAACTAATGACGACTGTACACATTTCATAATTGATAATTCAATCAGAATAGTTTTATTCTTGTTTCCTTAGGTACGGTGAGTGGTACATATAAGACTTAAATTTTAAATATAACAGAAGAACCAGGTGGTCTCCAATATATACATATGTACGCATATACACAGGTATGTAAGTGCAACTGAAATAAAACTGGGAATTCTGTTCACTATTATCTGTAGCAGTAATGAATTTGTCTTGAGCGGAATGAAATCCTGCAGAGCTAAGAGAGGCGTAACTTAAAATTTCAAACTGCAATTTAGCCATGCGCCAGTTGCACCGTTGCGCAGTTGCTGTGATTATTTACGCTTCTGCTGTCGTACAAAGTGGCTTCCTAATGGTTTCCGCTCGTCGACTTGTGCTAATGTTGACATAGAAAGTGACACGCGTGGACTTCATGGTCATCAATTTGCAAACTTCACACTTGATTCAGTTGTAACAGTGCTAATGAAGAATCTTATTTACACAAGCAATTGCTAGATGACCATCACAAATGTCTGTCATAACTCTTTTGAAAAGTTGCTGCTTCTGTGTAAAGTAGAGTTTCATGGATTATAAATCTTTTTGTGTTGGCCAAAGTAGATGAAGTTTATGTTAATATCATTTCCTAAAGGGGAATAAAATATCCTTTGTGCTTAAACTGTATACTGTGCACAATGAAACATATCCTCTCCCAAACCTAGATTTACAATCTGATCCGAGGCGCCATTCCTCTCTTATTTCGCTATTTGGCGGCAGTTGGAAATACCAAGTGAAGCCAGGTCACTTTCCACTTGATCCTTCCAACCGAAGGGAAGCCTTCCTCTTACTCTGCTCCCGCCGGCGGGTCCTGCATCAAATACTTTCAAAGCAGGAGTGTTTTCATCTATTCGGACGACATGACCTAGCCAGCTTAGCCGTCATGTCATGACATCGTCATCAGATGTTGACAGCGTTCACGCTTCTGCGTCATATAGTAGGACGAGTATGATAAGCGACTAGTAGAGTTTGGATAATTGGTGCGGACTGTGGGATTGCCTTTTTTGTGAATTGGCCAGAGCAGACTTAGGTTCCAATCATCGGGCATGCTTTCATCCGTTCATATTTTGCAAAGTCACGGGTGCATGCTGGTTTGTTGTTTTGGAGAGTGCGTGTCTTCGCTCCGACGATATAGTGATCCGAGTCGATGTTAGGACCAGGGAACATACGCACATCTAAAACACTGGAAACATGTCGTCGGTCTATTACAGCATGATCAACCTGGTTGAAAGTTTTTCGATCTGGAGACAGCTAAGTAGCTTGATGAATTTTCTTGTGCTGGAATCTAGTGCTAGAGACAATCATATTTCGGACCGTGGAGAAGTCGATCAGCCTCAACCCGTTTGGGTTTTTTTTTCGTGGATACTGAATTTTCCGACTTTTGTCCCAAAAATACCTTCTTTGCCCATTCTAGCGTTAGCGTCGTCACGCAATATTTTGACCCTACCGAACCATAACCGTATGGGATTCGCCTTCTCACTTTAGCTCACCTCCAAACAGATGTTTGTTAACTATCCAGGGGATACGTGGTCTTCAACCGGAAGTCGTGAGCTCCTTGAATGCATATATATCCAAAAAATCGTTTCCGACCACTCCCAGGTGAACGACAGTCCCAAAACGTTACTCACTTGCGTGAACTTCTACACATGATCCCATCCCC